GATAAGGCCGACTCAAATATGTCCATAGGTTGGTAAAATTCGAGAAGTTGTAAATTTCCCTTTTTTTAGCTTGACCCATTACGAGGATTCCCGAGGTTTGTATTCTAATTTTAACGGCGGCATAATGGAAGATTCGATGGACAACATCTGTTTGTATTTGCATTGGTCTGGTGCATCAGCCGAACTCTGCTGCAGGCCTGACCTGGGCGGAAAGAGAGACTGAAATGACGGTCAACCGCTGGCTGATTTCAGGACATGTCGATTGCGAAACCGATGTCATGTGGAGAGAAAGAGCAGATGCGACCGAGAGGTATAACGCAAAAATGGGGTGGGAGCGAGACAGAGCCTGGGTCGAAGACGGCTTGGTTTATGATCGCCGTGATCCAAACCGTCCTTGCTGCAGTGACGACGATGACGAAATGTGTGCCTGATGCAGGTGATGGCTTTGATGGTAGCAAAAGCCTAGGCAACTGCAGGTTGGATGCACGTGAAACGGCAAAATGCGACCTGGACTTCGGACTTGGCGAGCCTCAAGCCTTGGACCGCGGCCCTCAAAGCCAGTAGGTACAGACAGCCATAGACACAGTAAGTGGCATAGTAACAGTCTTGTCTTGATCGCCTCACAAGTAGGGTAGTGCAAGTGATTTCATCAATTTGCGTATCCTGTAGACCCATCAGAGCTGCCTGAATAGAGGCTGATGTGAATCTGCATGTGGCGCCAGCTCGAGTCTGTCTCGCTAGGCCTTAGTAATTGGACTGTAATTTGAGCTCCAGTTGCCACGGTGGCTAGACTGTGATTGATTCAATCACCACATTTTTTTGCTCGAGAGGGCGTCTTACGATCGTTTTGCAGTTGTATCATATCTACTATCACCTGTGACAAGATCGAGTCTATCGGCCTTCGGCAGGGACATATCCTGTCTTGTCCCCCCTCATTAGCATCCTACTTTTTGGCACGCCAAGGCTATGCGAGATGTAGCCCAGTTTCGAGGAGTTGTGTGAAAAGGCCTGATGAAGAGCTTCCCTGTGCTCTACAGTCGTTTGATGTTGCCATGTTCTTCAGGTTGACGCAGTACACGAGACATCGAAATTCAGTTGGATAAAAGTGAGATCCGATTTTGTCGATCATATGACTGGTATCGTCAGAGTTGGATCTCATTCATACAATTCGAGGACAATAACTTTGTCACTCTCGGTTCCTCAAAATGATTTAGAGACTAATGACGAAAGTTCGAGCAATGCTAAGGGCAATTCATACGAACTATGAGATCTAGTCATATGGTTGTGGGATCATTCAACCACCAGTCTTTACCAATTCAAGCAACCTATTCTAGATTTACTGTTTTTTTCGAAAACTACTTTATAATAATAAGATTTGGTTTTTACTCATTAATTACTAAATGTTTCCAAGAATTTTCACGTCTTAGCTAAAATCGAAAGAACAAACAATAATTACCAACTAAAAATATATGGCCACAGCCTATGGAATGATTTTGTTCGTTTCGAGTTTAATCGAATTATTTTTTTTGGATACAGACTATGCCTATTTCTTGAATCATCTAATTATTTTCAGTAATTAATATCCCAAGGTAAATATGAAGATCATTCGATGTATACAGGTGGTATTATCTCTTTTTCGCAAATTGGTCGTGTTGTCAGGGCAACTTAGTTAGAAGAACCTTGTAGTAGTTAACATAATTCCTGCGTCGGACTGTGTACTTGATATATTGCAAGAAGTTTCGCCGGCATCGTTGCCAGCACATTGTCAGCGCATCTTGCCATTCTCAGAACCAAGCTTCTACTCGTCAAAAGAGACATGTGAAGTCGAGCCCAGGAAGTTGGTAAAGGGATTGACTTCCCTTGTCTCTCTTGATGAGTGGTAGTTTGATTCTGAGAATGGCAAGACTCAGTGACGATGCCGACTACGATGCCAGCGAAACGCATGGGAATGTACGAAGTCCATAGGCCGACACAGGAATTAGGATAA